CCCTAAACCCTCAACCCTAAAAGCAAGTGCTGACCTAAGCGACATCTACTCGCAACTGCCTACCCCCGGGTCGGTAGATGGGACTGTTTTTCCAGCAGGGAGAGAAGATGAACACCACTTTTTCGTTTTAGGGTTTAGGGTTTAGGGTTTAGGGATTTGCAGCAGCTTTACAAAGAGCACACGGTGACGGACAGGCTTAACAAGACCTAGGGTCGAATATAGGGGCCTTAAGAATTAGAATGGGGTTTTGGGGCCATTCTACTATAATTACAATAAGGAAACCTCCAAATAGTATCGGTGATTATTTGGGCCTCTAGATTAGAGATCTGAGCTGAACTATGCTGGGGTGCTTGCAGCTACCCTTCCACCTCCGAAACCCTGCGCCCGACATGTGCCCCCAATAGCTGGAGCGAAAAAAAAAGGAGGACCTGAAATCTGTGCGTGTTGAGGATTTCCCTAAACCCTATACCCTAAACCCTAAACCCTAAACCCTATACCCTAAACCCTAAACCCTAAATTCTAAACCCTAAACCCCAAACCCTATACCCTAAACCCCAAACCCTAAAGTGTGCCATGGTTTGTTCTGGGGCTGAGAAAACCCGAACAATCCGACAGCCGAGCTGGGAGGCAAGCGTATGGTTGAGCGCAGCAGCAAACTCTACCTACCCATAGGCCCCATAGTAGTACGGTTTAGGGCTTAGGGCTTAGGGTTTAGGGTTTATGGTTTAGGGTTCAGGGTTTGGCTTATATTTAGGATCCTACTAGGTAATCCCAAAAAGGAACTACTATGGGGCCTATGGGTAGAGCCCCAAACTATCCTTGATTTTCTGACCCCCAAGATTGGCAGTATGCAGGATCATCAGGGCTCTGTCAGGGCATGTCGTGCATGTGGGAGGTTTCTTTCCCCCGACGCCCTAGTTCTGTGCTCCAAGGGTCCTAAGTACTCCAAACCATTATAGAACCCTCTCTGAAACTACTTGCGAAGTACTTAGGACCCCACACCCTACACCCAAAGAGGACCCTTCGGGGTGCTGAGGGCCAAGCTCCCAGAAAGCTCTGCTGCAGCATCCGTAGGCACGTAGGTCGCAGCGTGCTGGAGGTGGACGCCTGCTGAGAAACTGCTCAGGATGTCGAAATCCTTAAGGCATTAGGGCAAACCCTAAACCCTACTAAACCCTAAACCCTAAACCCCTAAAGCCCCACAAACCCTAAACCCTAAAGCCCTAAAGCCTAAACCCCAAAACTCAAAAAAAACCCTCCTAACCCCTAAAGCCTAAACTTGGATCCAAGAGGCTGGCAGAATTTGGGAATTTCTGGGCTTCCGGATGGCGCGGCTCAGTAGAACCATCCGCCAAGCCCTAAAAGCAAAGAAGCAAGTATGAGGGGCATCCTTCAGGTTTAGGGTTCAGGGTTCAGGGTTCAGGGTTTAGGGTTTAGGGTTTAGGGATTCTTGAGGGAGGAGGTCCCAAGCGGGGTATATAACCCAATCATCCATTGTATTCCCTAGTATGCTCCCTAGTACCCTCCCCCCTTGAACCTCCCTCCCTTAAGCTTCCTATAAACGAACAACAAAAGAGCACATCTAACAGAAAGCAAGGAGCAACCCTTAGAGGCAAAAGCTCCTGATCTCTCTGAATTAGTTTTGGCCAACGTTCTCCCTACTTAGGGTTAAAGCTTTGGGGTTCAGGATTCTTGGCTTTCCTGGCTTTGGATGTATTGGTTCGACGTTGAGAGTGCAGGGTTCAAGTTCTAGCGATTTAGGGCCTGCACCCACGACCGCCCGGGAGACTTTGCACATATTAATCACATAAAGTTAGGAGTGCTCTGCAGCCCTGGCTTCTCCTGCAGGTTCTTATACTGCCCTAGTAAGTGCTCTGATCCTTAAGCGGACCCACCTCCTTCTCCTGCGCTCATCATGCTGAAGCTGTTGTCAGTCTTGACCACACCTGTGCGCGAGTTTAAGCAAGGCTGTTCCATCCCTGATGCGATGGGGTGGCTGGAGGTGTGGGCTGTTGTGACAATATCTTGTCAGACAGTCTTCTGTTGGGGTTCAAGCTTCGTAAGCCCTATGCTCGCAAACAGAACCTTTTGCGTTCCGGCACCACGCTTTGAACATCAGGCACAGTACACACAAACACCCAAAAACCTCAACCCACAATACCCTACCGTATGCCCCGAACCTTAAACCCTGAGGCCCTGACAAAATTAAACCCCTTAGATCGAGGGAACCTGAGCATCGAAGGGCCGTCTGTTGCTGAAGCTTGAGGCCTCATGCCCTAAATCGTAAGCCCTGCGCCCAAAAGGCCCCCGACATTCTTAAACTCAAGAGCCAAATTAACCCAACATCCTAAACCTTAGCCCCAACTAAACCCTAAACCCTAAACCCTAAACAACGCGGCCCCCCTTTTCTGTTGCAACGCCAAGGCACGGAGCTCGCGTTGCCCACTGCCTGGCCCAACTCCCTCGCGCAGAACCACCTGGGTTCATAAGGGTTTAGGGTTTAGGGTTCCGTTTAGGGTTTAGGGTTTAGGGTTCTTTTTAGGGTTTAGGGTTAAGGGCTTAGGGTTCCCTTTAGGGTTTCGGGTTTATGGTTCCTTTTAGGGTTTAGGGTTCCTTTTAGGGTTCCTTTTAGGGTTTAGGGTCTAGGGTTCCTTTTAGGGTTTAGGGTCAAGGGCTTAGGGTTCCCTTCAGGGTTTAGGGTTCAGGGTATAGGGGCGTATAGGGGCTGCATAAGGTTTAGAATCAGGTTTTAGGGATGTTTAGGGTTTAGGGCATAGGGGCTACGAACAACAGTCATTGGATTTTGAGTGCTTTTTGGGGGTTTACAAAGGTTTATCGGCGGGTTTACGGTTTCGGGGCATGGTTAAAGAGGCTCGATAAGGGCTGGACAATACTATAGGGGTTCGTAGCAATGACAGTCACAATCATACTCGCAACAACGAAAATTGTAAGAGCAGCAATACGAATAATATTTTACTACAAGGATAGAGCCTACAGTATCTTTTGTTGTTACACTGGTACTTATAACCGAACGAAACTTACAGTTTGAACACCCTAAACCCTAAACCCTAAACTTACACCTTGAACATCTGTTGAATCTATTGCATCGTTGCTGCTCGCGAGTTTTGCGCACTAGGGCTTGGAGTCTCGGGTTCGGGATCTAGGATTTGGCGTTTAGGTTTTAGGGTTTAGAGTTAAGGGATTATAGGGTTTAGAGTTACGGGTTTAGGGTTTAGGGTCAGGGGTTTAGCGTTTAGGGTTTACGGAGATCGCGTTCCTTGGATCAACCGGGTTTAGGGAGATCGCGTACCTTGGATCAACCCATGCCACGGGCAATGCAGACCTCTGTATGCTAGACCTGCCTCATGGGAGGTCATAGTAGAGAGCTCGTGTATTTGCAGCCCTATGCCCTAAACCCCAAACCGTAAACCCTAAACCCTGAACCCTGTAAATCGGCCAAGGGACAATCATTGCATCTTCCTCTGTCGACTGAACGATGCCCCGAAGCCTTCCCGCTGATTTTCAGTACTCAGCGTCTCTTCTTGGTTTTGGTATTGAAATGTAGACACGGCAATTTGTGTTCTTTAAGGTATGCTGGCCCCTGAATTTCGGGTTCAGAGAATCGGGTTTGGGACAAAAAGGTTTCTATTCAATTTGGTACAAGGGTTCCTGGAAGGACTCGCACAAGAGTAGTATCAACTGCTATCTTTTAAGAGGTTGCAGCAGCAGCATCAGCGGCTCACGCCTTATATATACATATATATATATATGTATATATATATATATGTACACATTTATGCATGATAAACACTTCCAACTGTATGAAACTTTCAACAACTACATATGACTGTGCATTGAAAAGATATGGAGCTAAATAAATCAACCTATACATATATATATATATAGGAACAAACAACTGAGAACACCTCTATATAGTTATGTGTGTGTGTATATGTACAGTCAAACACTCATATATATATATATATATATATGTAGTTGTATATACTGAGAACTGGTCATATCTAACCACATAATATATATATATATATATATATACGTTTTATCCGTACCATTTATTATCAACAACTCCAACTTCGAAGCTGGGTTCCACACAGGCGAAGGCCCTGCGATGGGTTCCCATCTGGGCCGAGGCCTCGAAGATATCTTTCTGTCGGGGCTTTGAGAAACCTTCAGAGTTTAGGGTTTAGGTTTCTGACATAGGCTTGTTCTTGTGAGCATGTGGCCGATGGATCCTACCGTAGCAAGCTGCTGAAGCAACCCTGATCCTGTAGCACCATTACATTGGGATCTATACAGAAGAACCTTTAAAGCAAAAGACATGGGTAGTTTTCTAAATCAGGGTCCCTTTTTAGGTCCCCAATATAGTACGGCACCCTTATAAAAAGGACCCGCCAAAAGGGACCCTAATTTAGAGAACTACCCACATGCAGGTTCCTCCACCAGTAGACTGTAGACCCTAAACCCTAAACCCTAAACCCTAAACCCTAAACCCTAAAGGGGCTCCTAGCGCAGAAGTCTGAACTTCAGTGGGTCATCGACTCCAATACGACACCAGAAGCAGTGACTTCAGCAAGCTTTGGGGTTGAGGGCTTCTCAATGCTGGCCGGTTTGGGGTCTAAGAGACTTTGGGTTTAGGGTTTAGGGTTGGGGTGTAGGGTTTGGGGTTTGGCGTTTAGGGTTGGGGTTTAGGGTTTAGGGTTTAGGGTTTAGGGTTTAGGGTTTAGGGTTTAGGGTTGGGGTTTAGGTTTAGGGTTTAGGGGACTGAGGGTTTAGGGTTCGGGTTTGGACTTTCGGTTTGGGGTTCTGGCCCTCATGCTTCAGTTGGCTGGGTTTTGATACAACTTAATACAACATCCACGAATGAAGGCAGCCCAAGAACCCCAACGTTACACTTGACACTTCGATGTCTGAACTAAAGCTCCCATTGCCGAACCTTCTGAACGCAAAAGCCCTGCACATGGACCCGTAGGGTTAGGGCTTCACTGCGAGACCCCCTACACGAGACATGCGTTCCACACTATACCTTGATTTAGAACAAACGGGCTCTTTTGACTTTCAGAAGGCCTAGCAAAGCCAGATGGGTAGTTCTCTAAATTAAAGCCCTAAACCTTAAACCCTCGATTAAGGTCCCTCTTTAGGTCCCCAAAACAGTACGAATTCCCTATATACGGACCCCTTTGAGGTCCTAAGTGTATACGAGATTCGTTATTGGACCCTTAACGCCCTAAACCTTGAAAAACAGTTTGTAGAACCCTTATACTAACCCTTAAAGGATCACTTATAGGTGCATGGAGCCTTACATCCTAAACCTTAAAGCACCCTAATAATAACCCTTCTAAGGATCCCCTAGAAGCCTTGGGGTGTTCGAGGCAAGCTGCGAGCAGCACCAAAGGCGCTAGGACAGCCATCTGCGTCCTGGAGCGATGCAGACGCATTGGATTTAGGGTAGTAGGGTCTTGGCGCCCCCAATACCTACCTTGTGATACGACCCTAAACCCCTAAACCACTAAACCCCTAACCCCTAAACCCTAAACCCTAAATCCTAAAACCTGAACCCTAAACCCCTAAACCTAAACTCTTGGGAACCTCAAGGCTCAGGACAATCGAGGTGTATGATTATGGTGTCCCCTTCACTTCCTGTTCTTCCTCATTTGCAGAATTATGGTTTCCTGTTCTTCTCCCCCTGGAGCCCTAGACCCTAAACCGTCTTTCCGAAAATCCCGAGGTGTCCATCGCGAGCACCCACGACTGCTGATGACCATCGACGGTGCCCTCCTCGAGCTCCAGGGGAGCTTTCGGTGGCGTATAGAAGACGCTTCCATGGTAAGGTTCAGGGCTTCGGGTTTAGGGTTTAGGGTTCAGGGTTTCGGGTTTAGGGGCTTAGCGCTTATCCTATTCTAATTAGTAAGACGGCGTTGTGCCTTAAAGTTAGGGGATGTCTGAAAGATCTGGTGGTTTAGGGCTCGGTTTTTTGTAGCTTCAGTTCTAAGACGGGGGGAGCCCTGCTGATCCCTATCCTAAACAGGATACGGTTTATGGTTTAGGGTTTTAGGCTACTGTACTTACAGTTCAATGTCTTAGCAACCAATACCAACACACCTACTCGTCCTGAACAATGTACTCTGCTTCCATCAGAAAAAGTTTCTTCGGGCCTGAGCACCCTAGCCCAAACAAGGGTAATCATTTCAAGTATGAGAGAAGCATATAAACCACACAACGTTGAAGGTTACCTGCTCAGCCATTAAGGTTTTGAAAAGCACAGCACCAAAGCCCGACCCTAAACCCCTAAACCCCAAACCCTAAACCGCAACCCCTACCCACCAAACCCGTGAGACCTTGAAGCCCTGATGCCCTGAACTTGTTCAACCCTGGATTCCACTATAGCTTTGGTGTAATGACCGTAAGGGTCCATGTACCCAAATGGTGTATAATTTCGCCCTAAAATTTAGTCCCTATCTTACAAGTATACACTTTGGGGCCAAAGCAGATACTATTTTGGTCCATGGACCCTTAGGGCAAGGTAAACGGAAGGTATAACTGCGGAAAAGTATCACCAATCACTCAGGCTTCGATATCCTATATTACGCTCTAAACCGCAAACCCTATCATAGACCCCAAACCCTATCATACACCCTAAACTTACACTAAGGGCAATTAAGCCTTAATCCTAATTAATCCCCTAAACCCAAAACCCTATCATACACCCTAAACTTACACTAAGGCCCCTTAACCCTAAATCCCTATCATACACCCAGACTTATACTGAGGCCCCTTAACCCTAAATCCCTATCATACACCCAGACTTATACTGAGGCCCCTTAACCCTAAATCCCCATCATACACCCTAAACTTATACTAAGGCCCCTTAACCCTAACTCCTAAGTAAGCCCTTAAGCCCTAGCCTAAACCCTAAATCCCTAGCCCTAAACCCTAAACCCTAAACCCTAAACCCTAAACCCTAAACCCTAAACCCCAAGCCCAGAGCCTCACTTGAGCTCAGCCAAAGAACCCAGAAGCTGGCCGAGGCTTTCGGGAAGAGACGACAGGAGTCCTCCAACAGACTTTATGCATTTTTAGGGTTTAGGGTTTAGGGTTCAGGGTTCAGGGTTTAGGGTTCAGGGTTTAGGGTTTAGGGTTCAGGGTTTAGGGTTCCGGGCTTAGGGTTCAGGGTTTAGAGTTTATGGTAACTTACAAGGCGTTTGAGGTTTATAGAAGGCTTGACATAGGGCCCCTATACCGGGGGTTGCTGGGTTTTGGGTTTAGTGATTACGGTAGGTCTGGACATTTGGGCGTCATCTGGGCTCCCAAGAGGATACCCTTTCAAAGAGCTGTTCTGGTTGCCAGATGTGTGAATTTTAGAGTATCATGGCTGGCAGTTAAGGCCCCAAAACCTAAGGCCGAAATCCTTAAATCCCAACAAGTCTAGAAGCAAGGACAAGCCCCAAGAACTCCAAACCCTGCAACAGCCTGTCACCCCAGCCCCAAAGACCCTTGAAGACAAGGAGCCCCAGACGGGGTCTATAAAACTCTCATGTGGGTGGCCATCGAAGCTAAGGTCCCGTCTTGGGGAATGGCTGGCCTGACAAGGACATAGTTTAGAGCGACCCCCCTCCCCCCTCCCCCGGCACCCAACAAAAATACAAAATCCAAGTGGCTTTAATAATGAAGATTAGTTAAACTTTGGGGGTCCATTCTAGCACAGTTTTGCAGGGATAGAGCTGCTAATTATGCAGACCTCCCTAAACCCTAAACTCCCCAAACCTTAAACCCTCTAAACCCAAAGCCACGCAAAACACTAAACCCTAAAACCCTCAAACTCTAAACCCTAAACCCTCAAACCCAAAGCCCTAAACCCTCAACCCTAAACCCTAAACCCTAAACCCTAAACCCTGAACCCTAAACCCCCCTATGTCACGGCCTGAGCCTGTGTCATCAGGATGGCTCCCGAGTCTCCTCGCAAAAGAACTTCGGGCTTAGGGTTTGAAGATCCAAATTTAGGGTTTGGGGCTTAGGGCCTAGGGTTTGAAGATCCAAATTTAGGG